CTTGACTTGGAAAGCTACCGACGAGTCACCCTATCCAGTCCCCAGTTCTCCCAGGATAAAAAAAACTGAATTCTTATATTATTTAAAGTTAGAATAATTACAGTAAATTTACTACTGTCATTTGACATGAAATAGTCACTTCTAAGTCACACGGCGTTATAAAGGGTTAAATTAAAATCTACAACTGAATCGGAATGTTATACGATCGAATAAAAAACCAGAATAAATTCAATTATTTCGACGAACCACTTTTGCATCTTATTTAACGAAGAACAGTATCGTACACAGGACAACCGACAATTTAAAATTGACGAACACGTGAACAACTCTTCAGCCTCTTCACTTTTCTTCTTTTCCCTTTCCTTGCACGATCCTTCGTCTTTCCGATATCAACGCCAGGACAATACTTCGGAGGACATGGATTCTTCAGCATACGTGAAATTTCACGATGCACCGGACTCAATCTCGGCTTCTTTATCTCTTCTATAAAATAACGATTGCCTCGTCTCACTTTGGTCGTCATCGGTTGACACCGGTCCAAACCATTCTCTGTCTTGAAAATTCTCAATCGTACCGGACACAATAATATCTCACGCTGTCGCTACTCGAGCTCCCCTCACACTGCCGCCTAGTTGCACCTACGCCTACGCATACGCTACTGCTGAGCCCGTTATCTTTCTCAGAGTTACAAAGGCGGACTGCGACCCTCGACAACCGTGTCTCCTCTACCCAAACTGACGCCTTTCGGTTCCGACCAGGGCGACAGTGTCAGAGATATTACTGTACATCTCGTCTAGTTTAAACGAACTTTAAAACAACTGTATTATCGTTCCACCCAAAGGAAATATTTAAGTATCAACGTAGACAAAGAATTAATTTTTGAATACTTTTTGTACTGAAAATATGACCTCCTTATTGATGCCTTGTAATATCATATTGTATTGCTTTATAAACTGTGTGTGTGTGTGTAAAGAGAGAGGAAGAGATGGGGGGAGATAGGGAAAAAGAGGGAGAGACTAGGAAAGAGAGGGAGAGACAGGGTGAGAGGGAGAGACGAGGAGAGTCAGGGAAAGAAAGCGAGAGACAAGGAGAGAGAGAGAAAGAGAGAGAGAAAGAGAGGGAGAGAGCGCGAGACAGGGAGAAATGGGGAGAAACAGGAAGAAACGGAAAGAGGAAAAGAGAGAGAGAATAGCTCGGAAGTAGTATACCTTTGGTAAGCGAGTTGAGGAAGGAATCCAATGCCAGCTGGCCTGTTGGTAATGCGGCGCTTAAAGCTCCGCTAAGCGCCAGTAATTCTTGACAAGTCATAGCTTCGTTTCCACCCAATTCAGCCTGCATCTGCGGTGACACGTGCACATGACAAATTACGCGAATGCAACAAAAGGGACTTGGTGATATCGACCTCCCTACAGCCCGCAGTAGAATATACCTGTGTGTGGTCTGGCAGTGGACTCGACCAAACATTCCCGTCACCGGTCTGTGTCATTTTTTCGCTCGAGCACACGTTCCGCTCGCCGGGCAACACCGTCGAGGTGGTTTGCAACGCGTTCCCGACGTTGTTGCTACCGTGAAGCAACACCACGTCGCTGAACATCACGCTGCTCCTTCTACGATAGTGCGTGCAAGGTGGACTTAGCAGCGCATTGTTCGTCTGAGGACGGAGTTCAAATCGAAGGAGGAGATTAAATTATAAGTTTCAGATATTTGGAAACGAATGGTCGAGCACAGTATTTCAATTGGACATTAGACTCAATTACACTCGGGCACAGAGAAAGTAGAACGCTTGGTCAATTTGATTGAAATACGGAGGCAAGAAGTTTCTGAATTCTGAGACAAGTTTTATGAAAACGTTCCATGCACCTGATACAAAAACATTAAACGAAAAATTCAAAATTCAAAAAAAAAATGACCATAGAAAAATTGTTCTTGTATCATCTTCCTTCTTTTAAACCATTCGAACCCCTATAAATAGGGGAAATATTTAGGTGTTCCTGCTCTGATGGGACACCCTGTATATTACCCACATTATTGTTCTCACGAATGAAATAAAAATTGAAATTGCAATTTATTTTAGTATTCCAAATGTATTTTCTTGGAAATACACGTATCAGGTCATCCCATAAGTCGTGTCGCCTCTAATTGCAGTTTATATAAACATCCGTATCTTGTTTCGGCGAACTGTTTATGAAAACTTCTCCGTATGCTTTTCAAGAGGTATCCTCTCGTTAGTTTAAAACGTGCATTCGAAACATTTAGAACGATATCTTCCATTTAAGAATATTCAAACAACGAGTGTCGACGAAATTCATTCTCGGCATTGTATGCTGTATGAATTTAAAAAAGGCAGTACAGTGAAAAACGCCGTTAAAAATATTTGTGACGTGTACGGTAAAGATGTTTTAAGGGTAAGAAAATGTCAAAGGTGGTTTTTCAAATTTCGAAATAGGGTTTTGGATCTTCCTGATAAACCAGTTTTTTAATTCAAAACCTTAAGAATTTTTTGAAAATGGAATTAAGCGGTTGACTGAGAGATGCGAGAACGTCATTGAAAACGATGGACAATACGTCGACGATTAAAAGTAAATGTAATATTATTTTATACTTAAACTCACCACGAAAAAACGAGACGACTTATGGGATGACCTGATATATTACACACCGTTGCAAAAAGATATTTCTTCGAAACAACTGATTTCATTCAGAAGCAAATGAGATTCCTCGCGGCATCAAATTCAAATTTGAAAAACACGTTTCACATGAAAAATCGAATTCTCCAAATCACAGAACCGCTGAAAAATAACTCTGAACAATTTCACACAGTGGAAACTCTAGTTGCTAATCTTAGAAAATTTATAATTATTGACTGCAAATCGTTCTCTACGCAATTCTCCGATCCATACAGAATAAACTAGAGTATAATTTAGTAATAACTAAGGTCGACTATTTTCTACACAATCTCTGATTTGCAAGAAAGTAGGAGAACTCAAATAGAAATATAACATGCATAAACATATCTACCTGAATGCTTGCTTCAGTCGCGTTCGAGAGAACATTATCACTTCCGTTGCAGGAGACCGATGATGTCCGATGAAGGCCCAGACGTTGGCACATGTTCGAGGACACGTCCGCCTCGGAGATTTCAGGGCTGGCACGAGGTGCAATCGCTAAATTCCCATTGCTCCCGCCGTTATGGCTAATGGCAGTAGCAAGAATCGCGGCCTGCGTCGGAGGACTGTTCGCCCCAAAATCGGTAAGCGAACCTCCACCGCTACCGATCCCCTGCTGTTGCTGTTGTTGCTCCAACAATCGAGGACACCTACCGTGATGAAGCTTCCTATCTGATGAATAATAACGAAATCGAGAGTGACGATGTGTAAAATTGCTCGTATCGATTGCATGAACATTACAGAAATTGAAAAAAAATCAAGATATACAGTATATTCTCCACAAGTGTCACACCGCAAGGAAACTAAACCTCACACTCGTAGAGTCAGAGACTACGTTTTCCAGCCTCGCGCCTGCCTTTGTAGTTTGCCGAACGGAAACAAGGACAGCAAATAAAAGATAAGCATGAAACGTGGTCGAGGCACGTTTTAATTTTACGTTTTTTTATCCCGAAATTTTTCTTGACATATTGATGAGATTTTTCTGATGAAAATGACATAAAACACGACATAATTTCAACAACATTTACTTATTAACACGTTCACTGTCACGCCAGATTTACAGGTTGCTGTCAGGCGGCCACAAGAAAATACATTTTAAGCATAGAATTATAGTATTATGCTTTATAATTTTTTTTTTCAATTGAAAATAATGTCTAGCTAGCTATGACGTTCAAAATTTTTAGTTGACAACATTTATTTTATTTTAATTATTCTAAACACTTGAGGCACTCCAGTCACTGATGACCACCATGGCCATATCGAGGAAACAATCTAACGTTAAAACTTATTGAGTGATTAATTTAATTTCATAATATATCGCTTTGGATAAATTACCAAAACAAATTGCTAAGAAATTACATTAAATACCAGTACACATTATCCGTCGAATGTAGAGGGAGAGCCACCGTTTGGTTGTTAATTGTTTATCACATAGAGTCGGCCTACCTCCAAGTAAAAAAAAAAAAAAAATGTAGGGTCAA